CAGCAACAGCTGGAAAAACACAGTTGGATTCCCTGACCTCACATTTGGGCATCCAGCTAGGCTCTGCCAGTTCTGAACGATGCCAGGACACCCCCCTGGGGATCCCCAGCAGCCCCTGGGGCCACCATCAGTGTGGGTGGTGTCACCAGTGAAGAAGACCCCAGGAACTCTCATTTTTTTCCATTTCAGCCTAAAACCATAGAGGGGAAAGGGTGTTTTTGGAAGCTGTGACTGAGGGCTCGGGTTTTCCAGCAGGGAAGAAGAAGCAGACGCCTGGATGGGCTTTGGCACAGGACTGGGGCCTGGGCTCCTCTTTAGATCTGGAGGAGCTGTGTCCTGTGCAGCTCTGGCTGCAGTTTTCTCTTCCCCATGGGCAGAGCTTGGAGCCAGGGAATTGTTGGCATCAGCATCCCAAGTGTCCCATCCTCTGCTCCAAGCCTCTGCCAGCAGCTCGGGGAGGCTCGAGCCCATGGAGCCTGCTTGGTCCAGCAAAGTCCTGTTCCTGGCAGTCGAGATCTCATCCTGCTCACAGCCCAGGACAGGGGAGCACACGGAGCTTGTCCTGATGGAGAGTCCAGCAGCAATCCTGGCAAGCTGTCAGGGAGCTGGGGAGCACTGCAGGGGTGCTTGGACACTCCATCCAACCCCAGCCCCATGAGCAGGGTGACAGAGTCTGTGAGGATGCTGGCACGGCCCAGCATGGTTGGCATTGCCTTCCCTGGCACGGAGCTGGGCTGGGGACAGCAGCCAGGGAGCAGGGATGGCGTGGGGACACTCAGCTGCCAGGCAGGGCTGGCTGCCGGTGAGCGAGCAGCGCTCGGGGTGTTCCCAACAGCACTTGGCTGCTGCTGGTGTTTGTAGGAGCCCTCTCCTGTCTCATGCCAAGTTTGGGACACACTGGCCCTGGCAAAAGGAGCTGGCAGCTCCCTGATAACCCGTGTGACAGAGCACTAGGGTTATCCCCCCTGTCCATGTTTTCAGGGTGGGCATCCACAGTCACTTTCTGCTCCATTTGCTCCCTCCCTACTTTAGGTCTCCATCCTCTCCTGGGGTTCCCTGCATCCCTGGAAAGATGCAGCAGCATCCCCTGGCTGCCCCTGGCCCCTACCATGGGCCTGGAGCAGCAGCAATGGGTGCTGGAACAAGAAGAACTCAGCAGGAGTATTTTACATCCTGCATGCCAAAGGAAGGATGAAACAAGACCTTGCTCTCACTGAGGTGTCTGTGCTTATGTGACGTCTGAGCGGGAAATGACAACCTGGGCTGATTTTTTTGTCTTTATTCGCAAAAAGGGATAAATAATGGCAGCTGAGGAGCAGTTGATCTTGGAGGAGCTGGCAGGGCCAAGCTGGTGCCAGAGGAGCAGGAGCTGTTTGAAGAGTGGAGGGGGAGCCAAATCCCACCTGCAGGAATCATGGAGTCCCAGAATGGTCTGGGATGGAAGGGACCTTAGAGATCATCTCATTCCACCCTCTGACATGCGTAGGGACACCTTCCACTGTCCCAGGCTGCTCCAAGCCCTGTCCAGCCTGGCCTTGGACACTTCAGGGATCCAGGGGCAGCCACAGCTTCCCTGGGGAGCCCCAAGCCAGGGTGGCTGGAGAGCAGCACTGCTCTGTGCTGCTGGTGCCTGGGACAAAACAAGCTCAGTGGTCACAAATCATGGTGGGGAAGTAGGGAATGAGGCAGGGAAGGCTCCAGGGGCTCACAAAATTGTCAAATTGTCCAAAATTGCTCTGCTCTGCTTCCCCCATTGCAGCCCCTCAGCCCCGGGCTTTGCTGGCTCTGTCCCCAGCGCTGCATGCAGCAAGCTTGTTATTTTTAAAAACAAATTAAATGAGGAGAAGAGCCTATATCTAGGCCTTGCTCTGGATCTTAATTGCCCTGGCTCCCCAGGGGCCGGGCGAGCCCGGAAAGCGCTGCACAATCGCCGTAATGAGCTATTAATAAACAGCCCGGCTCCGCCTGGCGCTGCCCGGCGCCGAGAGGGACCGCGGGTCCCGGTGTCCCTGCAGGGGACACAGCGGCTGTGCAGCTCCTCTGCGGGATGTCCTGGGGCCGGCAGAGACCCAGGCAGGGCCAGCCTGGCTCCTGAGCTCGGGTCTGCCTGGATTTGCAGGGAATGGCTCATCCAGCTGTGGGGTTTGCTGTGGGGTCAGTGGAGCATCCGTGGCTGGGGCTGGGGGGCAGCAGGGCTGGCTGTGGGCAGGGAAAATGTGCCCAGGGCTGGCTGTGCACAGGGAAAGTATGCCCAGGGCTTGCTCTGGACAGGGAAGGTGAGCCCAGGGCTTGGGGGGGCAGCAGGACTGGCTGTGGAGAGGGAAGGTGAGCCCAGGGCTGTGGAGCAGCAGGGCTGGCTGATGCTCTGGCTCTGGAGGGGGAAGGTGAGCCCAAGGCTGTGGCTCCCGCTCTCCATCTGCCAGGAAAAACAACTCCAGTGGGGCTGGAGCTTTGCTTAGAGGATCAGGTGGCCAGAGTAGGAACCAGAAGTGGAGTTGGGTTACTCCAGGCTCATCCATAATGAACACGGGGCAGAGCCTCAGGCAGGCAGGGGAAGGGCTGGATCCCCCAGGGCTGGCAGGGAGGGATGGTGGGCACAGGACACCATTAAAGGGGCTCCAGGGCATCTTTATTTAGTGTAGAGACTCTGAATCAGATGAAAAAGTGTCACAATAAATGGGGAGAGTTTTGTCCTGTGGGTTTGCAGGTCGTGTTTGGTAGCATTCCTTCCTATGCAGCCCCAGGGCAGAGCAAGAGTGGGACCTCCAGAACCAGGGGGACCAAGGGGAGCTGCCCCCCACTCACCCCAGAGCCAGCTCAGGTTCCTGGGGCCACCAGCCAGGCAGAGCCTTCACCAAGTGTCTGTCCTGGAAGGCAGAGGCTGCCAGGCAGCTCCAGTGTCCAGGTGGCATTTGGGGACCTCCAGTCCCCAAAGGGGGTTTGGTGCAAGGAGTGAAGCTGAGCAGTGCTGGAGAGAGGGGAGAAAGGGGCAGGGGCAGCAGTGGTCCCCCGCCCTGTCCCCCAGCTGCATCCACAATCCTGTGGTTGTGTGAAATGGTGACACTTCCCTCTTGTTTTGATTCATTGGAAGAAAATGGAAATGTGGCAAAATTAAGATACACAAAATAAAAGAAAAAGGTGTCACAGAATCAGAATAGAATTGGCGAGGTTGGAAATCCCTCAAAGACCGTAGAGTCCAAGCCCAGCACTGCCAAGGACATCGTTGTCTCTCAGTGCCACATCCCCACATCTGTAAAAGGTCACAGAACCCTGGGGTGTCCTGAGGGGAAGGGACACACAGGGATCATTGAATCCAGCCCCTGTCCCTGCACAGCCACCCCAACAAGCCCACCCTGAGCATCCCTCAGAGCACTGTCCAAATGCTCCTTGAAGATCTCTGTCCTTCCAAAATTGAACTGAGCAATGGGTTTAACCCCAGAGAATGCTCCTCTGGGATAATAGGGTCAGGACAGGAAATTACCCATGGAGATGGCATCCTTCCCTGAGACCTGAGCACAAAGAGGCAATAACAGCCCCCTGAGGCTGTCCCATGTGCCACCAGCCCTGGGGACAGGAAGGAGGGTGACACCAGCCTTTGGTGTCCTTTATCACACAGGGGGTGTGAGGAGCAGGAGATGCTGGGCTGGGCCAGCTCCTGCTGTCCCTGCTCCATCAGTGTCACCTCTCTGGGGGATCTGGGTCCCCATCACTCTCCTTCTGTCACCCCCTAAGCCAAGCAGCAGCCACCTCAAAAAGGGCCTTTTGGGGACCTTTTAGGCCCTGAGGACCTGCAGTGGCACCGAGGTGCAGCACTGCAGCCACGCCTCAATGGCCTTGAGCAGCCACAGGTGTCACATTGTCCTCTTCCCTTGCCCCACATCCTGCTGGGCTCCCACAGACAGGTTTGGGGTCAGCCCAGGACAGAAGGGAGTGTGAGAGGGGCTCCCTGGAGCCACAGCTTGGGCTCTCTGGAGGTCAGAAGGGCTGGAACCAACCCCCAGAGACTGCACCCCAGTTTGTCCCAGTGCCGTGGGAGCGATGGGACAAAGCCCCCCATGCTGGAGGTGTCCGTGCCCCACTCCCTGCACCTCCTCAGGGGTGGCTCTGCTCTTGGTACCCCCAATATTCTCTTGCCAGGCTCAAAAACACCCCACAGCTCCCCAACCGAGCAACTCTGCCACTTAATTAGGTTAATGACGGTGCTTCATTAAGGAAAGGCGGCTGAGGAGTTTTCGGTGGCGTTTCCAGGCAGCCTGGCAGATTTGGGGCACGGATGGGGACAGGGAGCGGAGAAAGGGGAAGCAGAGAAAAGGGAAAGCGGCAGCGAAGTGCTAATCCCTGGAAAAGAGGGCAGCCGGGGCACGGCGCCGCGGCGTCGGTGTTAATCCCTCCTCGGCAAAGATTGTGCCCGGGGCGGCCTTAATCTGCGCTCCAGAGGGACGGGGACAGGGACAAGGACAGGCCCTACGTGTGGCATCGAGCGTCCCCCGTGCTACAGGACCCCTACAAGCCTCCAGGGGCCTGGGGATGATTTGTGCCACTGGATGACACCTCACACCAGGAGCAGAGGGCATGGGGCATCCCAGCTGTGTCACCAGAGGGCATGGGGCATCCCAGCTGTGTCACGAGTTGGCAGGATCTCTACCAGCATCTCTTCGCTCCTGCCCTGCCCTTGGGGTGTCTGTGCATTATCCCAGGGTGCTCACCACCCCCTCTGCCCGTGCCTGCACCATCAGGGGCACAGGGAGGGCTGAGCCAGTGGGAGCAGAGGCTCAGGTGTGGGTCTGCAGCCCTGGCTCCTCTCACAGACCTCTCCCCCTGCCTCAGTTTCCCTGTTCCAATGGAGAGTGAGGCTCGTTTATCCCAGCTTTGCACAGGGCAGGATCCCCCGGTTGCACAGTTGGTGAAAGGGATCCAGAGAGTTTCCTGGAGGTACCAGGGCCTCATCAACCCCACGGGCCTGGGGAGCAGTGTCCAGGGACAGCTCGCGGACGGGTGATCTGTGGGGCCGGGTAGGACCTTGTCCCCGCTGACTCGACTCTCTTTCTGTCGCAGGCGCACGGCAGAACGGCAGTGAGCCCCTAGACCATGCCCCACACCATGACATGGTGGCTCCCGGTGCTGGCCCTGCACGTGGTCCTGCTGTCCCCGCGGGCGGGCGCCTGCCCCGCGCGCTGCGAGTGCGCCCCGCAGCTGCGCTCGGTGCTGTGCCACCGCAAGCGCCTCACCGCCATCCCCGAGGGCATCCCCACCGAGACCCGCGTCCTGGAGCTCAACAAGAACCGCATCCGCTGCCTGAACCCCGGGGACCTGGCCCCGTACCCGCTGCTGGAGGAGCTGGATTTCAGCGAGAACATCATCTCCAATGTGGAGCCCGGCGCCTTCAGCAACCTGTTCAACCTGCAGACCTTGCGGCTGCGGGGGAACCAGCTCAAGCTCATCCCCCCGGGGGTCTTCACCAAGCTGACCAACCTGACCCTGCTGGACATCAGCGAGAACAAGCTGGTCATCCTGCTGGACTACATGTTCCAGGACCTGCGCAACCTGAAGAGCCTGGAGGTGGGTGACAACGACCTGGTGTACATCTCCCAGCGCGCCTTCTCGGGGCTGCTGGGCCTGGAGCAGCTGACCATTGAGAAGTGCAACCTGACCTCCATCTCGGCCGAGTCGCTGTCCTACCTCCAGAACCTGGAGGTGCTGCGGCTCCGGCACCTCAGCATCTCTGCGCTGGAGGACCAGAACTTCAAGAAGCTCTACAATCTCCTGCAGCTGGAGATTGACAACTGGCCACTGCTGGAAGAGGTGTCCCCCACCAGCTTCCAGGGCCTGAACCTCACCTCGCTCTCCATCACCTACACCAACATCACAGCTGTGCCCGCCGCTGCCTTGAGGAACTTGGTGTACCTGCGGTACCTCAACCTGTCCTACAACCCCATTAGCACTGTGCTGAAGGGCTCCTTTAAAGACCTCATCCGGCTCCAGGAGCTCCACATCGTGGGCGCTCTCCTGGTGTCCGTGGAGCCGCAGGCTTTCTCCGGCCTGAGACAGATCCGGCTGCTCAACCTCTCCAGCAACTTCCTGTCCACGCTGGAGGAGAGCACCTTCCACTCGGTCAACACGCTGGAGACGCTGCGGGTGGACAGGAACCCCCTGGCCTGCGACTGCCGGCTCCTCTGGATCCTGCAGCGGCGGAAGACGCTCAACTTCGACGGGCAGCAGCCCATGTGCTCCTCACCACCCGAGATCCAGGGCAACGCCCTGCGCGACTTCCCGGACTCGGTGCTCTTCGAGTACTTCACCTGCCAGAAGCCCAAGATCCGGGATCGGAAGCTGCAGCACGTGACGGCGCGGGAGGGGCAGTCCGTGTCCTTCCTGTGCCGGGCCGATGGGGAGCCCGACCCCTCCATCGCCTGGGTGTCCCCCCAGCACCGCATGATCACCACCCGCAGCACGGGGCGGGCCACGGTGCTGCCTGGGGGCACCCTGGAGATCCGCTTCGCCCAGGTGCAGGACAGTGGCACCTACATCTGCATCGCCAGCAACGCCGGTGGCAATGACACCTACTTCGCCACGCTGACGGTCAAGGGACGCCCGGCCGACGGCGCCCACCACGCCAACCGGACTTTGTACCTCAGCGACTTCAACGACACCTTCCACAACAACACCCAGGTCTTCTTGAAGTTCACCTTGGACCTCAAGACCATCCTGGTCTCCACGGCCATGGGCTGCATCACCTTCCTGGGTGTGGTGCTCTTCTGCTTCCTCCTGCTCTTCGTCTGGAGCCGCGGCCGGGGGCAGCACAAGAACAACTTCTCCGTGGAATATTCCTTCCGCAAGGTGGACGGTCCCACCACCACCACCGGCCAAGGAGGGGCCAGGAAGTTCAACATGAAGATGATCTGAGCCTCTTCCAGAGGAGAACCATTTTCTGCAGCCCAGCCCCGGGCACGGCCATGGCAGGACAGGGCCGGGAGGGCTGTGGGAGCACCGGCCGTGTCCCGGAGCTGGCAGAGTGACCTCGCTGTGCTGGGACATGGCTGGATACAGGTGCCACAGGCCAGCAGGGTCAGAACCATGGGGACTTCAGGGTCAGGGAGAGATGACCCCGATGTCTCAGCCCTGTGGAGAGCCCTCAGGGCTCAGGAGCTGTCCCAGGGGCTCCTGATGTAGCGAGGTTTTTGCTACCAACTATGCATTTCTTGAGCCAAAAGATCAGCAGTGTTTGGGCCTGGAAGAAAAATGCTTCCTGTTTTCCCCCCACCCTTTCCCTTTTTTTGTAAGGGACTCTTCAGAAAACTCTCCTGGTAGTTGTTTGTCGTTCTTTTCTTGTTGTTGGTGGGGGGTTTGGTCTGATTTTCTTTTTTTTTAATGATTTTCCAAGAGAAATGTCTTCCGGGGCAATGCAGGACTGGGGAGGTTGTGCCAAGCTCAGGGGTCCCCCAGCCCCTTGGCAAAGACAGACCCCCCGCTCCCAGGCACAGATGTGCCTTGAGAGCTTTTCATCTGTGGATTTAAGATCCAGCATCTGCCAATGTGGGTGCGCAGGGACGCTTCTGCACAAGCAATAATAACCCTCCAGGGCCTGGCTCTGAGGAGGTGTCAGCAAGAAAAAAAAGGGAAAAAAAGGCAAAATGAGGCCAAGATCGTTAAAATCAGGAAGAGCAACCCCAGGGTGCTGCAAACCTCCCCGTCTCTGCATCCACCCAGTGGGGGGTTGGGATTCCTGCAGGTTCAAAAGGCACTTTTGGGTTCATTTTCTTGGAGTTGCAAAGCCTGCAGGACGGCACGACCTGGCTCATCCTGTGCAGGGAGGCCCCATGGCCCAGGAAAGAAGAGGAGAGAAAAGCTGGGAAGAAGCAGTCCAGGAGAGCATCCTGGCTGACACCTTCATCCCAGATCCTGCACCCTCCGACGCTGAGGACCACGGGCCAATGTCCCTGGGGCTGCTCCTACTGCCACAGGGGTGGTTCCTGCCTTCCCATCCCACCCTTTCCCAGGCTTTGCCGTGGCTCTGCCTCAGGGTGTGGATTTTTGTGCATAGGAGAAGGAATGAAGCTGGAATGGAAGAGCTTGGATGGAGGATCCAGGGAGCTGATTGCTTCCTCCTCCGCTTCCTCCTCCCATGTGCACCCTGGGGGTTGCTGCAGGTCCCACCTCTGTCCCCATTCCTGCAGGGATATTCCCCACCTGGATGTCCCTTCTCCAGCCAGTGATGGTCAGGCTGGGAGCTGGAGGGGGCAGCTGCCCATCCCCTGACGGGCATCCCAGAGTGGCACCGGAGCATCCGAGGGGTTGGGAGCTTTGTGGGGCACAAGTGGCTGCTCAGAACATCCCCCCAACCCTGTTCTGCTGCCACAAGGTGCCCCCATCCATCCATCATCCATCCATCCATCCATCCATCCATCCATCCATCCATCATCCATCCATCTATCATCTATCCATCCATCCATCATCCATCCATCCATCCATCCATCCATCCATCCATCATCCATCCATCATCCATCCATCCATCCCTCCATCCATCTGTCATCCATCCATCCATCCATCCATCCATCCATCATCCATCCCTCCATCATCCATCCATCCATCCATCCATCCATCCATCCATCCATCCATCATCCATCCATCCCTCCCTCCCTGCCATGGGTCCAGCTGTCCCCATGGCCCCACATGCCCAGTGCTCCTCGCCCCCAGCCGTGCATGCCGTGTCCTGCCAGGGTCCTGTTTGATGTCTGGGGTTTTTTATCCTTGGGAAGGGGGTGGGAGGGAAGTGGGAGGGCGGGGAGGGGGTCGGGCATGGACCCTCACAGTGGGAGCAAAGGGCAGTGCAGACCTGGCACAGTTTTCTATGTTACGAGCATGTGAGATGTATTTGTGAGCAAAACAAAAACAAACAAAAAAAAAAAAAAAGAAAAAAGGGACTTTTGTGGCTCATTTGGGTTTTTCTCCCCCTTTTCTTCCCCATGTGCCTTGATAAGAAAAGGCAAAATCAGTGGGCAAAGCCTGAGCAGGAGCTGGAAAGGGCAGGAGCACCAGAATTCACACCTTGAAGCTCTCCAGACCTGCTGCAAGCTGGAAGGCCCTGGAATTCCAGCAAACCTTCCCCGCTTCCCGGGGCTCTGCTGGGATTTGCAGCCCCTGAGTCTGTCCCCACCATCAGTCCCACAAACCCCACATAAACAATGTGAAACCACCTCCCAGAGGGTACCAAAGTCCATATTAATAACTAATAAATGATTAATGCATATGTGCTAATGAACTGCTGCTATTAATCAATTATTAATTATTAATGCAGTATTTAGAAGGATGTGCCGAAAGTGGAGGGTGCAAAGGCAGCACCTCAAGTCCTGATGGCAGTAAAATTGGGGTTTGTGGGGGTTTTAAAAGGAGTCACATCCACCTCAGAGTGCACACAGGGAACCAAATTCCTTGGATGGGGCTGGAAAATTGGGCACGTGCCAGGGGAAACTGAGGCACGGGGGGGCACTGCAGTGGGGCCATGGGGCAGGAGCCAGTGGGGAGAAGGAGGGAGTGACAGAGTGACCACAGAGTGACCCTCCCAGTGCCCTCCCCATCCCCCCAGCCCCAGGGCACAGCCTGGCCCCCCCAAGGCCACCCCTGCCCTTGGCACAGCTGCCACCGCTGTCCCCACCACGGGCTCAGCCAGCCCAGGGTCCCCTTGTCCAAAGAGAAAGAAAAGCTGGGGAAAAAAGTTATGGAAATGGTGCCTTGGAGTGTTCCAAGAGATTACAGAAAGTCCCAAGTGCTGCCTGGAAAGATCAGACTCAAACTGAGTGTTCCTGTGAACCAGGTCGTCCATTCCAACTGCAGGAACTACCAAAAAAAAATTAAAAAGCAGATTTTTTTTGGTCTCTCTATATATTAACACAATTTTCTTGGAAACTCCGAACAGGAGCACATCCACACTGAACACAGATATTTTAAACCGTTCCATCCACTGATTTTCATGGTAAAAACATCATTATTTTAACCTTTTACCCTTTGGCGAGGCCACATCCTGTGAGCTGCACCTGCCATGGGGCAGTGTTATGTTTGCACCAGTTTTATGTTTGAGGGGGCCACCTGTCCTTGTGTCCCCCTCGAAGGGGTCGCTGCCCCTCCCCAAACCCCTCCCCCGTGTCCCTTTCGCCCGCCCTGTCCCCTGCCAGCCCCGCTCCCGGCTCTCCCAGCACGGACTGGGCTGGCACTGGGAGCAAAGCAATGCCTCCATCTGCTGGAGAAACGAGCCCTGGGCCATCCAGCCCGGAATTCCATCGCCCACCACTCCCTGGGGGCCGGGGGGGCTCCCGGCTCCCTCCCCACCACCCGAGGGGGGGTGACCCTGGTCGCCAAATAACCGCGAGGCTGCAGCCCCCAGGGGCTGGGCGAGAGCTGCCGTGGGAGGAAGGAGGAAATTGGGGTTTTTCTCTCATTTCCTGCTTCAAGACGCGTTTTGTGGCACAGGGAGGTGAAGGGTCGAGGTTCCAGCTCCTGCCTGTGCCCGCGGGTGTGGGGGCACCGTGGGAGCCAGGACTGAACCCCCTGCTCCTTTTGGGGGTGGCTGCAGGATGGAGATGATGGAGATGCTGAGAGAGCAGCCAGGGGGATTCACTGCCCCAGGGATCAGCCCTGGGCTGAGCACGGAGCATTCCCACAGCACCCTCGGGCTGCTGAACATTGTCATGGTGGGGGGGAAAAAAAGCAGCAAAAAAATAAAGAAAATTAGAAAACTGCCATTTTCCAGCAGCTGCGTTTAAAGATCCTATCTCTCACTGGGAAGAGAAACCAATTTCCTTACAAAGAAAAAAGGCTGGAGCTAAGAAAAGCTTCCCTGCATCAGTCCCCCAAATCCAGGGGAAAAAGGGCTCAGCAGCTCCTGGACCAGAGTCTGCAAAGGCTGTCAGTGCCATCAGGGCTGTGTCCTGCAGCTGATTTATCCACCTGGAACAGGCAGCAGAACCCACCAAAGGATTCAGGGATGCTCCATTAAATGAGAATTTTGCAACAGGAAATGACTGTCCTTGTTAAGGGCTTGGGTGGCTTTTAAACTTGGCATTTTCTCTTTGGTTGGAATAAGACAAATGAGGAATTTTACAGCTAAAAGGCAGTTCCTGGCTGCCCCTCTTTCCCTGGCCACTTCTCTCTAGCTTGGCAGGGTCACAGGGATGGCAGGAATTCTGTAATTTTATTCCTACCATTTTTTGGTACTTCTTGAAGGTAATTTTATTATTAGGGAAAAACAGTGAGGCTTCTAACAAGTTTTTCATGTGTGAGGGTGGGCAGGCCCTGGCACAGGGTGCCCAGAGCAGCTGTGGGTGCCCCTGGATCCCTGGCAGTGCCCAAGGCCAGGCTGGACAGGGCTGGGAGCTGGTACTTCTTAAAGGTAATTTTATTCATTAGGGAAAAACAGGGAGGCTTCTAAAAAGTTTTTCATGTGTGAGGGGGGGCAGGCCCTGGCACAGGGGGCCCAGAGCAGCTGTGGGTGCCCCTGGATCCCTGGCAGTGCCCAAGGCCAGGCTGGACAGGGCTGGGAGCAGCCTGGGACAGTGGATGGTGTCCCTGCCATGGCAGGGGTGGCACTGCGTGGGCTTTGAGGACCTTTCCAACCCAAGCCAGTCTGGGTTGCTGGTGCAACGTGGGGTGGATGGTGCAGATTGTCCCCTCCCAGAGCCCTGCACCTCCTCCCTGAGCTGGATCCAAGCATGACTCAGCCCCACAGGATTTTTTATCAGCTCTCACACACGGCCGCAGCGCCCAGAAACAGCCACAGCCAACAGCCACAACCCCCGGCTGGCCTGGGAAAAACAGAAATAAGTGCACGGGGAGGGAGCTGTGGGCTCCTCACGGGGGTGGCTGCAGGCTCCCAGCACCCCCCAGTCCCACCCTGGCCCCCAAAACCCTGCAGAGGTGCCTGGACCTGGGGTCCTGCTGTTCTTGGGCTCACGCAGTGAAATTTTCTGTTTTCCTCATGGAAACCCACATTTCCCAAAGGCTGCTCATCCCAACCTTGCTGCCCCCAGGAGAAATCCCTGCAGCTGCCTTCCCACAGCACCCATAGTGGCACCACTGGTGACTCAAAGAGTGAATAGAAGGCAGGAAATATTGAAATATTTGGGGTTTAGGATGTTTAAAAAGTGAGTTCATCCTAGAGGGGATGGACACCAATGGGAGGATTTTTTCCAGCTGAGTTTTGGGTCACTTGGTGCACTTTGAGCATCTGTAAAGCTGTGGGAGACAAAAAAAAAGGTTTTTTCCAAGGGCTGGGCTCCTCTCGTGCAATGGGCTGGTGGAAATCTCAGCAAAAAAAGACAAATCACAGATCAAAAAATATTCTGAGTTGAAAGAGAAGCACAGGGATCATCAACTCCAGCTCTGACAGGAACTGAAGCCACAACCTTGGTCCATGGAAGAAAATGAAAATATTCCTCCTCCTTGGCATCCCACCCAGAGCAACAACCCAGAGGAAGGTGAATTAATTCTGTGACTTGAGGGGGGTTTGGGGGGGCAATTCCCTCGTCAGAGCAGCTGCTACCCTTAAAGCCATCCCTGGAGCCATCCAGGAAGGAGGAGCAGCTGGAGGGACACGAACCCACAGGTGGCACTGACGGTGACACAGTGACCACGGCCAGGGATGGAGGGATGCCAGGGGGCTCCGGGGGCTGCCGGGGAGCGAGGCCAAACCCCGGCTGAGCCAAGCCCCGGCTTCCTTCAGCCGAGCACGGAGCAGGTTTTGAAACCACATCCTGCCCGGCCTTGCACAAGGTGCGCCCTGAGCGCGCCATGGGCAGCGCCAGGAGGGGCTGGGATGGGCAGCGGGAGCTGCTGCGGCTCCGGGATGTGCAGCTGGAGCCCCGCGGGACCCCCTCGCTGCCAGGGACACCTCACAGGTACCGAGGGGCTCTGCAAAGGGGAAGGAGCTGCTCGGCACGGCTGCTGCCCCGACCCAGCGCTTTGTGGGGTCCCAGGGGGCACCGCGGAGTTGGGGGCACCATCTGGGGTTGCTCGGCCACAGCTGAGCTTTGAATGTTCCAGCAGAGCGGGGAGCTTTAGACAAAGCCACCGTGGTTTCCGTGTCGCTGGTGGCAGCAGGGTCAGAGCCCGGGCCAGGACAGGGAAGTGAAAGCAGTGGCTCCATCCCAGCGCCCTCCTTCTTCGGGCTCCCTCCCCGTGCCCAGACCCCTGTCCTGCCCCCCAGGCTTGGCTGGGGGTGTCCGAGGCCTTTCCTGCTTTTGTCCCACACCTCTGCCAGCGTTGTGTGCTCCTTGGGGTCACCCAGCGGGGACCACAGGTGGCACATCAGGCCCCGGGCACCCACGGGTGTGTCCCATGCAGGTGGGAACCAGCGCGTGTGGAGCCCCCGGGGCGGCTCCCACCCCCAGGATTTCCCAGCGCGGCACCTGGAGTCACTGGGCCACCAAACTCCCGGTGTTTCTCCCAAAAACCGCCCCGCCAAGGCTCCCCAGGCCGCTGCTTCCCCTTTTGTGCGCGTTCCTCCCCCGAGCCGGCCCCTGGAGCCGCGGGGGTGACGCCGGTCCCGGCTCCGTGCAGGGCTCGCTCCGCGCTGCTCAGCGCCAGCCTGGACCCGCCCGGCCCCGGCCTGGCCGCCCCCATGCCGGACACGCCGGGGGGCTGCTCCCCTCGGCCCCCCAGCTCAGCCCTCATCTACAGCAACGTGGGTGAGTGACCTCCTGAGCCCGCTGTGCCCCAGCCTGCCGAGCTGTCACCTCGGGCAGTGGCACTGCTGTCCCTGTCCTTCCCCCCGTGCCACCCCTCTGGCTGGTGTTGGGTGTGGCTTTGGGGCTGGAAGTATGCAGGGAGCAAAGAACAACATGCTGTACTTCCATCCCACCCCATCCCACCCCCATCCCATCCTCTCTTCTCCTCTGTCCTGTCTGTCCTGTCACGTCTGTCCCTCCCTCCCCAGGAGAGCTGCGGGCCCACCTGGTTCCGCGCAAGGCCAGCCGAGGGGAAGGCGCTGGGAGACCCCTCCCCCAGCCCGAGCTGGACCCCCTGCCTCCCCCACTGCCCAAAAAGCAGCTCCAGCGAGCCGAGTCCCTCCCGGAGCCGGGACCATCCCAGCGCTGCCGTGACGACCCCGAGCCACGGGCTGGCAGCATCCTGTACAGCATCCCCGCAGGGCAGCTGCAGCCCGGGGAGGGGGCTCCCCCGCGGGACAGACCCTCCTGGGCACCCAAGAAGCCCCTGACCAAGTCCCAAAGCCTGGGGGAGCCGCTGGCCCGAAGCAGCCCCCAGAAAGCCCCCTCGGCCAGCCTGAAGGAGCTGACATTTGGGACAGCGGACGGGGAGCTGGGGCAGCTCCTGGAGAGCCCGGCTGGGGTCTGTGGGGTGGTTTTGGGGTGCCACGAGGCCTCCCTGGCCCGGCTCTCGGCTCTCATGCAGGAGGAGCTGGTGGGGCCCGAGGAGAGGCAGCAGCTGCTGGAGGCAGAGCTGGTGGGGAAGCGCTGGGCAGCGTTTGGAGTCCTGGACCCCCAGCCCTGCTGCCAGAGCGGGGACGCCTGGTACTTCAGGGTGGGCTTCACCTTCGAGCACAGCCAGCTGCAGTTTGCAGCCAAGGTAAGGGGGAATCGGGGTGAGAGGTCTGGGTGGTGCAGAGGGAGCCAGGAGATCCGGGAGCGTTGGCTTTTCCACGGAACAGGACACTGGGGCCACTTCCCCTTTGTGGGGCCACTTCTGCATTGCTGGATGACACAGTGCTGCTGGCAGAGGCTGGCTGATGAGGGTGACACTTCCCCTGGGGACAAGGGACATGTCAAAAGCAGCCCTTCTGGGGGACATGTCCTGGTAACTCAGCCAGAGAGGCCAGCACATACAGAGGAGAGGCTGGAGCAGAGCTGGCTGCCCAGGAGAGCAGGATGAGAGCCCAGCCTATCTGGGGGCTGCACCACCCTCATGTCCCTGCTCCGGCTCCATTCCTGGGTTCAGAGAGACCCCAGCAACACGTGTGGGTCACTGCAGGGCTGGTGGCCCTGAGCTGGCAGGATGACCCAGCCCAGGACAAGGCTCTGTCCTTGCACAGCTGGCCCTGTCCTCTGTGTCCCTGCAGGTCCCCAAGCCGTGCTGCTCCAGCCTGGGGATGCAGAGCTTCCTGGGGACACACTGCAGCATCCAGCGCCTGCTCGGCCACTTCACCGACCGCCTCCCTCGGGAGCTGGTGCTCCCAGGAATCCCTGGAACACAGAGCCAGGGCCCTTCCAGAGAGGAGTCAGCCTGTCCTGCCCCCCAGCCTGTCCTGCAGGTGTTCCTCTGTGCTGAGGTTCCCCAGCAGACCCTGGCAGATTTTGTGAAGGGCTCCCACGCTTTGCACAGGACCAGCCCCGGGCACTACGAGCGCCTGGGCTGCCTCCTGCTCCTGCAGCTCTGCATGGGGCTGGAGCACCTCCGGGGGCAGAACATGGCCCAGGGGGACCTGTGCCCCGAGAACCTGCTGCTGGTGCAGTGCCCGTGTCCCCCCCAGAGGCAGAAGGAGCTGCTGGGACTGTCCCTTCCACGGCTGCTCATCAGCAGCTTCTTCAAGGTGCAAGAGAAGCAGAGACCTCGTTCCAGCAGCCAGGAGCAGGACTGGAGCCAGGCTCTCGCTGCGCCCTCCCCGCCAGCAGCAGCTGAGCTGAACTTGGGCAGGCTGATCTATCAGATCTTGCACGTGGACATCTCCCTGGAGAACATTTTGGGCTTCAGAAGCAAAAGGCTTCCCGAAATCCCCTCGCTGTCCATCTACTCGGCGGGACTGAAGCGCTTGGCCTCGCTGCTCCTGCACAGGGATCCTGTCCAGAGGGTGTCCATCGAGCAGGCCAGGGCCATCCTGCAGGTGCTGCTCTGGGGGCCACGCCAGGAGCTCTTTGCCAGGAGCAGGAAGAGCCTCGAGCTGCTCCAGAGGTGGCTGCAGGTCAAGAGGGCTCTGCTGCTCCTGAGGTTTGCAGAGAATTCGGTTGGGGCCAGGGTCAGCCCCGGCCTGGAGGAGTGGCTGTGCTGCCAGTATTTCCAGGGGATCACTGAACACACCCTTTACCAGGTCACCCAGGTTCTCTATGCCCCCTAAACAACCTCCAAGTCAGCCCACCCAAAGGTCTCCTCAAATCCAAGAGCTCACGAGGGCCTGGCCAAACCTGTCCCTGCCCATAACAGGAGAGTTGAAACTAAATTATTTTTAGGGTCCTTTCAGCCCAAATCATTCCATGATTCTATGAAATCCACCAGTTCCTGAGAAATCCAAGCAGGTCTTCACTGGGAAAGCTCTGCATACCTAAACCCACGCCCCCCCATAGCCCATGGATAATGAAGTGTGTAAAACCACAGGGTGTGGATTTATACACTCAAACAATTTTTGCTTGATACTCTAAGTCTGGTTTACCAGAACACCTGAGGAAAGGCAGCTGGATGGGAGTTCCAAGCACTAATTTAGTGGCTGATAATCCCAAATAAAGATTATGGAGTTCAGACTTGGAACAAAACCCCCTCAGAGCCTTTTTGCAGCCACCAGGTTTTTGCTGTTTTCAATAACACTCAAAGCCACCCATCACAGCTCACCGGTCTCAGCAGAGGAGAAACAACAGCTCCTTCAGCCTGTGCTTCCCAGAGACAATTTGTGGCACAGTCATTAATAAAAATGACATTTTAAAGGAAAAAATACAGCTTCAATAAAACCTGAAGCCGAGCCTCTCAAACACTGGTCCTTTATGTGCTTCTCTGCCAGCATTACACACTCCAGGGATGGATCCAGAGGGAAACACAAAGCCAAACTGCCCTGCCTGCTGGTGATTACCCAGAACAGCCTCCATGGGCTCTAGTGAACAGCTCAGATGAGTTCATGGGCACCAAGGCAGGGCTGTGGCATCTGCTCCTTGCTGTGAAACACTTGGCAGCACGTGGGACCAGGACCCAGTCCCCAAATCCACGCAGGTGCCCAGGGACCAGCACAGTGATGGTCATTTAAATTATTCCTCAGCAATCATTAATCCACTCACAGCCATCTAGACTGGGTATCAGGAAAAATTCCTTCACTGAAGGAGTGATCAGGCATCAGCACAGGCTGCCCAGGGCAGTGCTGGAGCCACCATTCCTGGGAGTGTTCAAACAACGTGTGGATGTGGCACTTGGGGACATGGGTTAGTGGTGATGGGGTAATGGTCAGACTCCATGGTCTTCGGAGGCTTTTCCAGCCTAAACAATTCCATGATTCAGTGACTCCATCACCTGACAGCAGCAGGGCTGTGCACACAGTGGGACAGAGCCTCCCCACAGCTGCTGTGCCCAGGGATGTGGCAGTGGCTCCACAGGCAGTCACCAGAGCCTGGGGCATGGCTGGAGTGGGGAGGATTCCTCCTCGGAGTCCCTGAGCTCCAAAAAACAAAAATAAACCAAAGCTGGGACCCTGCAGAGAGCAGCTCAGTCCCAGCTCCCTGGTTGGTTTGCTCCCACCTGGAGCAGCACCCAAATCCCCCAGTGCAGCCTCCCTACCCAGCTGGACCCCATCAAGCCTGGCACAGAAATGGAGCTCAGGTCTCATTCCAGGTGTCCCGGGAGAGCCCAGCCCCGCTGTCCCTGCGTCTCCTGCACTATTTGCCGTGGCTACCAGAGGGCAGTAAAGGCCATGGCACAGCCCCTCATCCCGGGGACACAAAGCCAAACCCACTGCCGTGGCTCCTGCCCGGCCCCAGGCCGGCAGCTCCAAGGCTCCACAGCCCCCCAGTTCTGGTTTGCAGCGTGGGTGACCCCCTCCCCTTCTGCCAGGAGCATTCAAAGTCAGCAAAACGTCCCATGGAATCAGGACCAGGCACATTCCACACTCCTGTCCCTGTGGAGAGCAGAACATGGCACAGGTACCACGTTGCAGAGGAAAACGGGGACTTTTCCAGATAACCAGAAAAGTTCAGCCCCGTGCCAGCCTGTTGAGCAAAACAAGGACACCCTCCCTTGGTCATGCCACCACTATGAAATCCTGGAGTATCCTGAGCTGGAAGGGACCCTCAGGGATGCTCAGCCCAGCCCCTGTCCCTGAACAAACACCCCAATATCCCCACCCTGAGCACCCCTGGCAGCGCTGTCCAAACGCTCCTGCAGCTCTGGCAGCCTTGGGGCCGGGACCATTCCCTGGGCAGCCTGGGCAGTGCCAGCACCCTCGGGGGCAAGAACCTTTCCCTGAGCTCCATCTCAAACCTCTCCCAGCCCAGTCTCATGCAGTTTCCCAGAGTCCTGGCACTGGCCTTCCAAAAATCCCTCCAGGACGAGCACAATTGTAGGGCCACGAGAGAACTGGGAAGAGCCCCCACTTTGCACCACAGCACTGCTCACACACCCACAGGTTACTCTGTGCTGCATCTCTGAGGAATTTCAGGGAATACTTCAGTGTATTCCATGGGATCCCAGCACTGCTAAGCCCAGGGATGGGCTGTGGGGGAAACTTTAGGGCCTTACACATTTCACAGCACCCAGAGACTTCTACTCACACCCAGCAGAACCTGGTGAAATAAACCCATCCCAGGGATTCCCTGCTCCAAGGTTTTATAGAGGATTCAGCAGCTCCAAACAAGCCTGCAAGTACTGAAAAATATGGAAATAACACATTTTAAAGCTCAACCCCTTTAGAGACTTATTTTTTGTAACTTCAGTTCAAGGTTTGTTAACTCCAGCATCACAAGGAGCCCCTCTCCCCCTCTGCTCACCATGCTGAACACCAAGGGGTGTCTGTGGAGCCCCAGCATAGCCCCCTCCTCACCTTTCAACCACAACCTGCCCCCCAGCAGCCTGCCCAGCCTCGGTGACACCTCTGAGCTGCAGGAGTGCCACAAACCACCCCAGCTCACAGCCAGAATTCCTGGAGTCGCCTGCACACACTGGAAAGGCTGCGCTGTTAGGGGACCACTAAAATTCCAGGTATTTAAGTTGCATATTTGGTATTTAAAGCAGCCATGGGTTGAGCTGATCACATTCCACTTGAGACTTTCCAACCAAATCACACCCTGAATATCCTTCAAAACACTGGCAGAGCAGGCAAGCACTGCTCCTAATTAGCACACCTGCTAATTACTCACTAAAAGTAGACTTTTCCAGGATTGCTGGATTATTCCAAGCCCTGTCAGAGCACACCCATGAGTTCCAGTCAAGCAAAGAACAAGCAAAGCCTTTCCACACCTGCAACTTTAATGGTTGGGGCAGTTCCAGAGCCACCTCTTCAAGAGTGCAAGTCTTTAAACAGCTTAAAACCAGCAATAAAAAGTAAAATATAAATTTTTATTTAGAATTAAAGCAAATACTTCAGTATCACAAACACAATATTAAACTTCAAGAAATATACTGCTAAATTTGGAGGGAGCATTTATTTTTGCACAACCACGACATGCGCACAAAATCCAGAGAAAGATGTGGAGTCTGAAATTTTCAACATCTCACCACCAAAGCAGCTGGGTCACACAAGGTTTCGTACAAGAGTTAAGATAGACTGGAATAAGATGTTGACAAAATTTCTACAGAATCATCTTTATAGACAACAAGAAAGCTCTAAAGAGGCAAACATTGCAATCTAGTCTTCTTCTGCTGAGTCTCTCTCAAACGTGTAGGCCATGAAGCAAGCATCTGGTCTCTTGGGGACAAGGGGATGCCCTGGTCTCACAATCTCAAAGCCCAAAAAGCTGAAAGTACGGAGCAGTGCAGCTAGAAAATAAAGCAGGAGACAGGTTTCACCCACAGGATACTGGAAAAAAAAACCCTTACATTTCCACCAGAAAGCATTTTGTGTCTCTGGAGGCGCAGGGAACACCCACCTCTGTCATCTCTGTTCTTGTGGAAACAGATGAACACGTGCTCAACTCGGAGCTGTTCTTCAGCAAACTCGAGAAGAACTGCAAAACTGCAAGAGAAACACCAGGGGTTCAGTGCACAGGGCATGTCCTGGGATGGGAGGGACCCACAGGGACCATCCAGGCCAAGCCCTGCCCTACACAGGCACCCCAACAATCCCACGCTGATTGTCTGAACAATTCCAGGAGCTCTGGCAGCAAGTGCTCCTTCAGAGAGAGTTACAAGGCCCTGAGAGCCAATCCACGCAGGAATTCCTAGGGAAGGGGCACAGGCTGGAGCCTCACCAGATCCCTGAACCCCAGGCAGAAGTCAAGGGCAGGACTCCTCAGGGGCACAGAAAAAGCTGAAGGAGCTGCAGTGACAGACTCAAACAGCCTGGAAATCTCAGTGCCTAAACCAGCCTGAAATCCCAGACTTTGGGTTGGTTCTGCCTGCAGCCCTAAACCCAGGCTCACAACAGAGCCTCAAGAACCAAAATTAAACTTTAAAAATACAAAGAGCAAAGTGTTCTCCTACGCCCCTGAGAGGCCTCGTGCTACCCCACAGGCAAGTTTTGCCTGACCCACCTGTCCTTGCTCCCCTCAGGCACCTCGGGGCACAGAAAAAGCTAAAGGAGCTGCAGGGACAGACTCAAACAGCCTGGAAATCTCAGTGCCTAAACCAGCCTGAAATCCCAGACTTTGGGTTGGTTCTGCCTGCAGCCCTAAACCCAGGCTCACAACAGAGCCTCAAGAACCAAAATTAAACTTTAAAAATACAAAGAGCAAAGTGTTCTCCTACGCCCCTGAGAGGCCTCGTGCTACCCCACAGGCAAGTTTTGCCTGACCCACCTGTCCTTGCTCCCCTCAGGCAGAGCACCACTGGGAATTTCGATGTAGAGGTTGTTGTTGTTCAGCACTGCTCTCCAACTGATGTGTTTGGCATCTGTAAGCCTTGACTGGACATTGAGAATTCTTGTCCTGTTGTTAGGTGTTAGTTCTTCTGTGACATTCAGCCGATTATCCTGCAGCAGGGAGAAGGGCAGACTGATTTTCCCGTTCATTTCCAGAGGAGGGATTGAGGCAGGGAATGCTGTCAAGCTCACCACGAGCCATTTGCCCCTCATACTCACCGAATAAAATAAATTAGCTGAAAGATTGTGATCCCTCTGACTATTCCCTCGCCCACCTGGGATCTTCAGGGGTGGGTGAGGGACATCAGGAGCACCACCGAGGCCCCGGACCCAGGTTACTACAGCAATTGAAGGGAACCCTGGAACTGCAAAGGGAACATGGTTACACAGGCAGAAGGTTTGGACACAGCCCTGGGACCTGCAGGATTTAAACAGTGTTAAAAAAAACCAAACCTAGGCCGAAGGACTCCTCCCACTGCAAGTGGGAAGACAAAGGAAGCTCCACACCAGGGACAGTGCCCAGGGAGCTGCCACTGCAGTATTTTGAGTGAAGACTCACTTGGAGATGGAAAATACTCAGGCTGAGTGAGCCAGGTGTGTTTCTGTGCCAGGGCAGGCCTGATCTGAGCTCAGGACAAGAACCTTTCTGCAGGAATGTGCTGCTTTCTGCCCCGCTTGTTCTGAAGCAGCACAAACCCCCAGCCCAGCAAGGCAGGGATCACTTTTCTCTGGGATATTCACCACCAGACCTTCCCAGGCAATTCCAGGGAATCATCTCCACCTCCAGAATTTTCTGTTTGAGCTGAGGCCACACCTGAACCTCTGCAAAACCTCCAAAACCACCTCCACACCTCTTCCCACTGAACTCCTCAGAGCGAATCCGCAACGCTCAGCACTCGAGGAGAAAAACATTGTATTTTTGAAGACGTGAGGAACATTTCTA